GGAGGCGGTGGAGAAGGGTCTGGCGGTGGGGGGGGGGTGTTCGTCCCCCTGGAGCTGCTGGAGGACCTGGGTGCCCGTGTAGTCCTGACCTCCATTCCTCCTCTCCTCCCCAATGCTGCCCACTCTCTCTGTCCTGGGGAAACCAATCTCTGTTATCAGCCCTCTCCCGCTGGGCTGCAAAGACCACGCCCTCCGTCACGTCCTCCTGTTCAGCTGGCAGGTGCAGCTTCAGCTGCTGCCCACGGCGCATGTCGGAGAGGCGCTCGAGGGGTCTTTCCTGGTCCCCTACCAGGGGGGCCCGTTACCGGGTGCATTATTCCACGAAGAAGGCACGGTGCTACCTCTGCCGGGCGATGGGATACGTCCGGAGGGACTGCCCCTTGGCCCGGCACGGAGGAACGCCCGGGACCCTCAAGTCCCGGCAGGGTGCCGGCCCCGTCATCGCCGGCGCCCCTGGCTGCCCGGCACCCAGAGCCGCCCCTCCTCCTTCTCAGCCCACCACTGGTCCTGCTCAGGCCTAAGGGGTACTTCCCCCAGTGTGCCCAGATGAATGGGAGAGCCCCGCCTCTGCTGCATGCACTCTGGCTGGGCCTGTAGAGGAGGGTGCAGTGGGGATATCGCTGGGTTTGGGAGAGGGCCCGCCCCAGGGGGAATCTGCCCCCCCCATGCTGCCCCGCTGTTGCCTTCCCGAGTCATCATCCCTGCCCTCAGACCCAACCCGTTACTCAGCCCGCAGACGATGCCATGGAGGGCTGGACCCCAGTACATGGAAAGCGTGGCAAGTGGAAGGCTCAAGCTCCGCTCCTGCCATCCAATGCGGAGGCCCCCTGGAAAACCAGGAAGGGGGACACTGCTGCCGAGCCTTCCGCCCTGCCCACGGCCACGTTCCATCCACCAGTGCCGGCTGGGGAAGACGTGGCAGCACCGGAGAGGAGCGCCTCCCCTCCCTCGTGGTCCCTCCCAACGGAGACCTCCGCTAGAGCCCCTCCTGCTCCCTTAACATCTGAAGCCCCTGCGAGACCTGAAGCGAGCGTCACTCCGGGCGCTGGTGGGGAGGGCCCCGGGGCGGTGAGAGGTGATTGAGGCCCTGGGTCTGACCCTGGTCACCCAGGGGTAGGATGACCCTCTGCCAGCGGGCCTTGACCTGAGCGACCTCACCCCAGCCCCCCCCTCCCCATAACCACTGCTTCCGCTCCCGCCTCCGAGGGTCTCCTGGACTCTTCGACCTGCCCCGTCACAGGTGGCACTCTGCTGACGGCCGCCGAGCCTGCTGAGGCGATAGCCAGTGCCTCGCGGCCAGGACCCGAGTTACCAGGGGTATCCCCCATTGGCGTGGGGCAACCGACTTCCTTCCGGGCTGGGGCCCCACTGAAAATTGTCCACCTCCTGATGTCGTGGCTGTCACACCTGCCATTGAGCCTGGCATCACTGGGGTCCCCCTCCCCGTCCCTCAGGCCCCTGAGCCAGACTGAGGGGAGCCACCTCCTGGCGACCCAGTTCCTGGAGCCCAGGATCCCACCTCTGTCCCTCTTCCCACCCCTACTCCTGACCCCTGCTCTACCCCTACTCCTGACCCTGTCCCTATCCCCTCCACCTCCCGCGATGCCATTGCCGCCCCTGGGGCCGTCTCTTTCCCTTTCCCGGAGGGTGACCCCCAGGAAGCGGCCTTTGTGTTTCCATGTCCCGACTCACTAGGGGCTGCAATCTTCCCTCCACCGCCCCGCATTGAGCCGGGGTCTGAGGCAGACCACATGCCACCGGCCCATCGGGCGCCACATCGAGGGTCCGCCCCTTGCCTGCCCGTCTTGGTGGGCCACGGGGCTGTGCCAGGGGCCCCACCGGAGGACGACCGGGGGCCAGTGATCCCACCCCCCAATAGGCTGCGAGAGGAGCTGTGGGAGTTTCTAGAAGATGTCTGTGGCTCCCGCAATAAGGTGCAGCTTGCTGTCCAGCGATGGGGGGATTTTCACAAAATCCTCCGGGCCGTGAGGGCCCTTATGGGGGAGGGTAAAAGGACCGGGAAGCAGGACGCCGCGGCTTACCACCGGGTCCGCAGCTTCCATGACTCCTTGCTCACCTACGGGGTAGGTCACAGTTTGCTGCACAGCCCAATGTGGGCCGTGAGCATCCCTGACGGCGAGGATCACCCCCAGCCCTCCTCATGACACCTATCGCCTTTGCAACATTGAACACCTGGGGCTGTAGGATGGGTCTCCACAGGTGCCAGGTGCTCTCCTTCCTTCGGGAGGGGGGGTACTCTGTGGTTTTCCTGCGGGAGACCCATACAGATCCGGCAGTCGAGGACAGCTGGCGGCTGGAGTAGGGGGGACAGGATCTACTTTAGCCATCTCACAATTTGTATGGCTGGAGTGGCGACCCTTTTCTCCCCCGACCTACGGCCCAAGGTGCTGGGGGTCGCCGAGGCTGTGTCGGGCCGTCTGCTGCGCCTCCGGGTCCGCATGGAGGGGCTTGTGGTCAACCTCGTTAACGTCTATGCCCCGACATCGGGCAAGGAGCGGCTGTCTTTTTATCATCAGGCATCTGCCTTCCTCGGCTCCTTGGATCCTCGTGAGTGCCTGGTCCTGGGCGGGGACTTTAACGCCACCCTCGAGGAGCAGGACCACTCAGGGACCGAGCAGTGCCCAGCCGCCGCGGACGTCCTCCGGGAGATTGTCGAACATCACTCCCTGGTGGATGTCTGGCGCGACCACCACCCGGACGATATCTCGACGTCCACCTATGTCCGAGTGGAGGCCCATCGGTCGTGCCACTCCCGGTTGGACCGCATCAACTTGTCACGCTTCCACCTTTCACAGGCCCACTCCTCCAACATCCGGCCGGCCCCTTTTTCAGATCACCATCTGGCCACCGAGACAGCCTCTCTCTCTCAGGGGCCAGCCTATTGGCATTTTAACAACAGCTTGCTGGAGGATGTGGGCTTTGTGGCGCCCTTCCGGGAGTTCTGGCTGGCCTGGCGAGGGCAGCGGCATGCCTTTCCCTTGGCGCGGCAGTGGTGGGACCTGGGGAAGGTGCGCACTTGGCTCTTCTGCTGTGACTACACTCGGGGCGCCAGCCATTGGAGGGATGTGGTGATAGAGTAGTTGGAATGGGAGGTCTTGGAGCTAGAGAGGTGTCTGGCCGCCAGCCCTGAGGTCCATCCCTTTGCGAAACATTCCAGGAGAAGCGGGAGGAGCTCCGGGCCCTCGACAACCATTGGGCCCGGGGTGCTTTTGTTCGATCCCGCATCCGCCTCCTTTGGGAGATTGATCGCGGCTCCCACTTCTTCTATGCCCTGGAGAAAAAGAGCGGGGCCAAGAAGCACGTCACTTGCCTTCTGGCAGAGGACGGCACCCCCCCTCATGGATCCGACGGAGATGTGAGAGAGGGCCAGGACCTTCTACACAAACCTTTTCTCCCTGGATCCGACCGATCCTACCGCCCGCCCGCTTCCCGGAAACCAATAGGTCCAGAGGGCGTCTGTCCTTTTTTATCCCCATTGCAGTCCTCCTTTCCCTTCATGTGTCCTCTGCCCACTTTGGGGTATCTTTCTCCTCAACTTCTCACTTGTCTTCCGTCCTTTCTTCCCTTTAAATCTTGTGGAGCTCTTCTCTGTTGCTTCATCAAGAACACCCTCTCCCCACCTCCCCTGGCTAGGGCTTATCTCAATAGTTTCCCACGTACACCCATGAGGTTTTTTTTTCTTTCCCTGTTCAACATTGTGAGTGCCTCTCTTCCTCCCTCCAAAATATCTCAGGGGTTCTATGAAACCTTACTGAACCTGGGGGCCCCACAGGGAGTGGGTGCTTCTCTCGCTCATATAAATTCAGGGCTCTTTTTCTCTCCCAAACCTTTGGATTCCCCTCCCCATTCAGTGGAGTGACCATATTTTCAATACAAATGTAGTGATGAAAAAGGCCGAGGAGGTGACAGTTCCGGTGGCTGGGATGTCTCTACATGTGTGCAAGATTTGGCAGCTGTCAGGGATTCAGAGGTCTCCCTGTGAGCCCTGGAGGGAAGGAGGAGTGGCAGTATGTGACAGACATGCTGGGTGCTGGTCACTGAGATGCACATGGTCATAGCCAGGCAGCTGCCACAGTTCCACACTCTTGTGGGCTGGCAGCTCCCCCAGGAGCCCAACTCTGCAGGGAGGGACTCGGAATCCAGTAGAAAATTTCTGTTGTAATAACCCCACTGGTTTTTGGAACAGGCCCTGCCAACAGGGTAACATGGTTGCCCTCCTCTCAGGGGCTCTTCTTCTCCAAACTTTGGGGATCCCCCTTGTTGTGGAGCTTTTCTCCTCTTTGTCTTCCATTTCCCCCAACCCCACCCTTTGGTCCCTGGTGTCAGTGGAAGGTGAATATGATGCAGTCAGTGCTGGGCCTCGCAGCTGCCTCCCCTCCCCAGGCCTGAGGGTCAGAGCTGGGGGCAGAGACAGGAGATGGCTGCTTCCTGCAGGCAAGCAGCAGAGCCAGTGCCCGGCCCAGCTGCCTGGGGAGGGGGCTGCTCCTACAGGCTCCCTGTCGCAATGGGGCTGCTCCGATTAGGTCGCACCATCCCAGGGCTGATCAGTGCCAAATCCAATCTGATTGGCTGAGAGCTGGGTCGGTGGGATTTGGCATGTCCCGGTGGCTGCCCTTTAAATTCTGGTTGGTCAGTGGAAAGGGTGAGGGGCGGTGCTTAGTGAGGAAGTCTCACCCCAAACCTTATTCCTTATTGGTCAATGGCAGAGATTTAAGGATTGGGGTGTCTGGTCCATTCACAGTGCTGATTGGTCAAGAGTGAAGTGCAAGGGGTGGGGCTTAGGCAGGAAGTTCCCCCCCACACTGGTTCCTCATTGGCATAGGGTGGGGTTGGGACAGGCGGTGGAGCAGGGCTTCTACTTCATTCTTCACGTGGATTGGTCAGGGAGGGGGCTGGTGGGCGGGGCCGCCTGTCAGAACAGCTGTGACGAGCCCCCTTCACACTGTGATCCCCCTTCTCTGTGTTTCTCTCTCCTGCAGCTTGTGGAGTTGTCGTCTCACAGCCGCTGGCTGTGGGGATCTTGCAGATGTTCTCAGAACCAGCCACAGCCTGACCGACCTGTACCTGTATAATTCTGTGGAAGAGGCCGGAGTGCAGCTGCTGTGTGGGGGACTGAAACACCCGAACTGCAAACTGCAGACACTGGAGTAAGTAACATTTGGCCTCCTCTGTGTATTTGTAGGTGTCCTGTGTGTAAAGTGCTTGACACAGTGAGAAATAGTTGAGGGGAGAAGATTTTTCTCTCTCTCCGTTCCACTCTGATGTTTCTCGGGGACTGAGAAGTTACCCCATTATCCCCTGCATACTACCCCCCTGTAGTAGCTGTCTGTCAGCTCCCTGGCACCACCAGCCCTTCTCTCACCCAAGCACTCTACTCTGGGCTTATGCCAGCCCCAACTTTGCCTTGCAGGGTGACAAGAGGGGCACTGAATCCCCAAATCCTTTTCCTGTGATACCCAGCCCCTGACTCTGGCTACTCACAGAAGTATCAGTTCTTCTGCACCCAAAGATGCTGTGTACCCCAGTTTACCAGAGTTATCTTAAACCGCTGCTCTTGTAAGCCACAGAAGACTTGTGAACACTTACAATAAGACAAAAGTAGGTTTATTAAAGAAAGAAAGAAAGAAAGAATAAAGATTTATGCAGGAATGAGAGAAGGTGATGGAAACAACTGGTTGTAATGCAAAACAAAATCCTAAAGCGTGAACCTGAGTCTACACTTGTCAACAGCTACCTCTCCTATCTAATGAACTAGGATTTCCCCACAAAGTTCAGTCAGTTGCAGAACTAGCTGGTTTCATAAGGACCAGGACCCAAATATTCAGGACAGCCCCCTGAACTTCTCAAAGGTTTTCCTCAGTGAATACAGAGTGCCTTTGCCTACACTCTGTTATCCTGAAAATCGTCATTGGCTATATTCATAGCCAGGGTGATCCTCTGCTTGCTGTGATGTTCCTTTTCACCTCTAAGTGGTTTGGATCATTTCCCATGGTCTTTGATGCTTTTCCATTGACTGTTCTGGGATGTGGCAGGAGTAGACAACACAGCTTGCTATAGATGAATAAATATCCTATAAGATGTGTCTGGTGTATTGGGTTTGTCAGGTATGCAGTGAGAGCTGTTTGCAAAGAACAGGGGACCCTTTGCCAAGGATGCTTGTGTCACACCAACCCCATTTTTTTTCTCTATCTTTCCTCTTATTACACCCACTCCATCTCATGCTGACCCTGGTGGTGTTCCTGGCAAAGGCTTTAGCAAAGGGGTGATCTTCCATTTAGCTCTGAACATGGGCAAGCCAAGATTAAATATGTGACCCAAGTGTAACCTATACATTCAGGAACTAGAAGGCTAAGAAAAAGAAACACAAAAGCATTACTTTTCTTCATGATTTTGGGGGTCTCACTTATGACTTTTGAACATCTGGAATTGCCAATACTGCCTGTATGTCAGAAAATAATTATGACTTTGCAAAAGTACTTATTAATGCGAAAGAAAGGCCCCTAATGGACCTTCTTAAAGCAGCTGTGCTTTCAAGGGCATCTATAAATAGTTAAATCGGAACTGCAAGAGGAGGAGTTTGGCTCCAATACTACGCATTTCCAAAACAAACTTTGATAAGGTCAGACAAGAAATAAAAAATGACCAACTCTACGGCAGCATGACAAAGTAATTGTAGATGGTCGGACAGAGGAAAAATCCATGGTGCCCCCCCATAGCAGTTGGGTGCAGGAGTCTGGTAGAAGGCTAATATACTGGTCACTGGATGAATAGTTTTCTGTTCCGTGAATGACCAGAGCAGGGACTGCCCTAGAGCAATCAGGAAACTGCTAGAACCAGGGAAGGCAGGCAGGCTAATTAAGACACCTGGAGTCAATTAAGGATGTACTAGAATCAATTAAGGCTGGCAGGCTAATCAGGACACCTGGTTTAAAAAGGAGCTCCCTTCAGTTAGTGAGGGGTGCGTAAGACGCTGGGAGTGAGAGGGTGCTGCTGGAGGACTGAGGAGTGTGAACACCATCAGGCATCAGGAAGAAGGTCCTGCAGTGAGGATAAAGAAGGTGCTGCGGGAGGCTATGGGGAAGTAGCCCAGGGAGTTGTAGCCGTCACGCAGCTGGTACCGGAGATGTTGTAGACAGCTGCTATCCACAGGACCCTGGGCTGGAACCTGGAGTAGAGGGTGGGTGCAGGTTCCCTCCATCACCCCCAAACTCCCTATTTGACACAGGAGGAGTTGACCTGGTCTGTGAGTCACAGAAGAAGGGAAGGTCTAATTTGGGAAGGTCTCTGGCCTGTCCCCGACCCACTAGCTGGGACAACAGAGGCTGCGGAGATTGTTCTCCTCCTTTTCCCCATGCTGGCCAGTGATGAGGTTAGCTGAGTGAATGGCAGGTTTGAGCCTCTAGCAAAAGCGGCCAAACTGAGGACTTCCGTGGACCTCTGAGGCGAGCAAATCCACCAGAAAGCACAGGACCCACCAAGGCAGAGGAGGAACTTTGTCACAATTGGTGTCAGGGGTGGGATTTGGTGCACAGTGTGGTGGAAGAAGGAGGGTTTAAAAAAAAAAAGAGGGAAAGGGTTGTTTTTTTTTTCTCCACCACAATGGCTGATGTACTGTGGGCACTGATACAAGCCACGACTGCCCAGCAGGAGGCTACCCGTGTCCAGACAGCCGCCCAACAGGAGGCAGTGCGGCTGCAGCAGGAAACCAATCACCTGTTGATGGACCAGGCCCCTCAAGACAGTGCTATGTTGCAGGAACTGGTAAGCCAGGTGAAGGCCCTTACGGTGCTGAACCTCAGCCATGATGGGACGCGGGTCATATGGGCCAGCAATTGCCTGCAGAAAATGACATGGGAGGATGACGTAGAGGCATACCTCCTGGCATTTGAGAGGACAGCCCTGTCGGAGGCTGGCCCCGAGAACAGTGGTCTGGCATTCTCTCCCCATTCCTATCTGGGGACGCCTAGAAGGCCTACTATGATATGACTGAAGAGGCTGCGGCAGACTACCCCCAGCTGAAAGCAGAGATCGTGGACAGATCTGGGGTAACGACCACAATGCGGGCCCAGCGGTATCATGAGTGGAGGTACCAGGAAAACAAACCCCCATGGTCCCAACTATATGACCTCCTCCATCTCACACAAAAGTGGTTACAAACCGAGTCCCAGAGCCCAGAAGAGATACTTGAGGTTTTGGTCATCGACTGATACATGAGGGTACTACCGCCTGATCTTAGCACCTGGGTAAGCCAAAACGACCCCTCCACCTAGGACGAGGTTGTTGCATTGGTAGAGAGGTGAAGGATGGTGAGGGAACTGACCCGACCAGCTAAGGAAGAGGCACCTCGAGTTAAACTAGCGGCACCAACCCCCAGAGCTCAGGTGACTGGGCCCCCAGGAAGGCCCAGGTGGAAAAGAGAGGGGCTGAAGGTCCACTGGAGGCAAGAAAAAGTCGGAGCACTGAGGGTGAAGAGGATTGTGGTGTTAGACTGCCCAAACTGAGAGACCGGGGAATGCCTAGGGCCCCATACAGATGTTATGCCTGCAGGAAGTGGGGACACATAGCTGCACAGTGCCCCGATGCCGAGAAGCCTATGCAGTGTAACCTGGGGAACTGGGCAGATCCATGCTGCCTAATCCACCTTGTGGGGGTCGAACTAACCCCACATATGTATACCAGACCAGTGAAACTAAATGGGGTAGAGACTATGGCACCAGTTGATTCAGGGAGTGCTATCAAACTCATCTCAGGGAAGCTCGTGAAGTGTAGTGAGCTGTTGCAGGCCAAATGTATGGGGATAACGTGCATCCATGGGACGGTTGATTATTACCCCACCATCCCAGTAAAAATTGAGATCCAAGGGAACATTACAGAGATGATAGTGGGTGTAGCCCCTAAACTCCCATACCCTGTATAATAGGGAGGGACTTCCTGGAATTTTGTGACTTCCTCCAACATCCTCTCTGGGAGTAAGGGAGGGACCCTGAAGCTAGTGAGGCATCCACAGTGGACTGTCAACCCCCAATCTTCTCCAAAATATCCCCAGATTTGTTCTCCACCCCCAGGTGGGGCAGAAAGACAAAAAGGAAAGAAGGGCAGCTGAGGCCTTGGGAGCCCGAGTACTGACTCAAAGCCAGAGGGTCGCTCTCGTAGGTAGGCGGACCCAGACAGCTGGAAAGGAGGCCTCCCAGGAGGAAGAAGCACCTGAGCCAGACCCCAACCCTAATGCCTATGAGCCGGCAGAAGCAACAGAAACCAGTGCCCTAGAACTTGGGCAGACTAGCCCCGGGAGGGAAAATTTTGGATGGGACCAAGCCGAAGATCCAAGGTATGACAACATTAGGAATGAGGTAACAGAAATAGATGGGGTCCCCGTGGAAGGGAAAACCCAGGGACCCGGCCCCTACTTCATCATAAAGAAGGATCTCCTGTACTGGGTTGCACCAGTACAGGGTCAGAAGGTAGAGCAGCTCCTAGTACCTGACAAACACCAGAAGGCTGTATTAAAATTCGCCCATAGTCATGTTTTTGGGTGGCATTTAGGGGTAGAGAAGACCCTGGCATGGGTCCTACGAAGGTTCTTCTGGCCCAGGGTGCACGAAGAAGTGCGGAGATACTGCACTTCCTGCCCAGAGTGTCAGCTGCACAGTCCCCGTCCCCACTCGAGGGCACCTTTGGTACCCCTTCCCATCATAGAGGTCCCATTTGAGTGAATAGCCATGGATCTAGTGGGACCCCTAGAGAAGACTACTTGGGGCCACCCATATATACTTGTTGTCCTGGACTATGCTACATGGTATCCAGAAGCCGTCCCCTGCCCTCTAAAACAATAGCCAAAGAGCTAGTGGGGATTTTGCCCGAGTGGGGCTACTGAAAGGGATACTGATGGACCAAGGAACCCCATTTATGTCAAAACTAATGAAGGATCATAGAATCATAGAATATCAGGGTTGGAAGGGACCTCAGGAGGTCATCTAGTCCAACCCCCTGCTCAAAGCAGGACCAATCCCCAATTAAATCATCCCAGCCAGGGTTTTGTCAAGCCTGACCTTAAAAACTTCTAAGGAAGGAGATTCCACCACCTCCCTAGGTAACGCATTCCAGTCTTTCACCACCCTCCTAGTGAAAAAGTTTTTCCTAATATCCA